GCAGGCGGGCTCAGGCAATCCACTCACCTCAGCCTCCCAAAGGTGCGGGATTACAGGCTGAGCCACCGAGCCCGGCTTATATTTATTATCTATCTGTAACTATGTTTATATTAATTTTTATATAGATACAGATAGATCATGAACCTTTTATGGCATCTCTCCCTATAATTTGGAGTTGGTGAAGGGCAGAGAAAAATAGCATTTGGATTTGACCAAGCTCAGGCTGGAGTCCTGGCTCTCACATTTCCTGGCAGTACGACCCTCTGCAAGTCACTGAATCTTTGTGATCCTGTCTCCTCATCTCCTCTGCTAGCTTCACAGAGCTGTTGAAACATGAAGTCATGTGGGCAGGGATGGGCACTGGGCTGGGTGACTTAATAGACTCAGCCACGAAGATCGCATCTTGAGCTCAGAAGCAGGAGAGAAGGACAAAGGTCCGAGGAGGTTGCTGGACAGGTGCTTCTCTTGTGGCCACCAACCAGTGTGGCTGGCCCTGTCTGTCTCAGCCCACTCACTATTCACTGGACTTCACTGCAAGTCAGACTCAGAGTCCCATGGAATGTTGAGTGGCTGCAAAGTGAAGATGATCGTGTGACACTGACACTTTCATGGGCACATACCTTCCCACACCGGCTCACTGTGGCATGGAGACTTTTGTAGATGCTGTTGTAATTAGCAGGCTTATTAAATCCCTGGCTACTCGCCACGTCTCTTGTCACCCTCATTAGGATAGCGAACCGGTGTTGGTTGCCTTAAACGCATATTAATCCTTGGCCACAGGCATAATTATTCTTGACTGTTTTTGTTCCCCAGTGTGTACAGGAAGATGAAAACACAAGAAAAAAGTGTTGTAGAACAGGTAGGAGTTTTATGAAATTAATTTACCTGGAGACTTGCGGGTGATGTTAAAACAGTGAGAGGTTTATCTTCTGCTCATGTGCAGGGCTCCACATAGAATTCTACCTGGCCCGCCTGCTTGCTACTTCCATCCCCTGACACTTTTGTGCAGGACTTTTGAAAACACAAAACTGCCCGTGGCTCATGCCTGTAATCCAGCACTTTGGGAGGCCAAGGCAGGAGGATCGCTTGAAGCCAAAAGTTTCAGACCAGCTTGGCAATGTAGCAAGACCTAGTCTCTACAAAAAAAGAAAAGAAGATAACAGAAAACTGCCCCTTCACAGAGAGCCATAGCACACATGACAGGATAAAAAATGCTCCCTTTTCCAGCACACCAACAGTGATGTGCTCTGTATTTTGCTTTCTTCCAAGCTGCTTGTTCCCTGGGCTAGGTGTTGCTGTTGTCACAGGATTCCAGTGACTCATTCGAGAGCCATTCGGTAACACATGGTCCTGAAGCAGGAGAGAGGTCCCAGCCTGTCTGACCATCTCTTTGACACTTGTCATTATTGGAATCTTTCATGTTAATGATGGTGGTGTCTGCCTAGAGAAGCAGCATACGTTGACTGCTGAGCATTTAAACACAGACATTGTTAGGACTCGTGCGAAACCCCTTGGGCGAGAGCTTAGGGAATATTTTTATTGTGTGGCAAAGGATCCCATGTTCAGCGGCATCGTCTGAACAAAGGAAGCTCAAAACTGTAGATCATCTCTCATACAAATACTTAGTAAAACACGGTAGTAAAAACACTTACATCATCCTTTTATTTTTTATTTTTTTTGAGTTGGGTTCTCACTCTGTCGCCCAGACTGGAGTACAGTGGCCGCGCCCGGCCACTGCAGCCTCAACCTGCTGGGTTCCGGCAATCCTTCCGCCTCAGCCTTCCAAGTAGCTGGAACCACAGGTGTGCGCTACCATGCCCAGCTAATTTTTGATTTATTGTAGAGATGAGGTCTCGCCAAGTTGCCCAGGTGGGTCTCGAACCCGCGGGCTCAGGCAGTCCACTTACCTCAGCCTCCCAAAGGTGTGGGATTACAGGCTGAGCCACTGAGCCCGGCTACATCATCCTTTTAACAGGATTCCTCAGTAGGCTCAACTTTTCTGTATGTGCTCTGTATTTTCTGTCCTTACACGGGCCCCATTAGCACTTTGAATTGTACGGTTTACATTGGGATGAGAGAGGATGGTTAGTGAACTTGAAGTGAAGCTGCTCATGGAACAGAGTGGTGTTGGTGAGCTGTATGAGCTGGACGACTTGGGTCAATAACCGTTCGGTTTCAGGTGCAGCCAGTAGGACTCTGCCCTGATGGAGTGTGCTGTGTCTTGTTTAATGACGTCGTGGCACCTGCAGCCACTGAGTGCTTGGAATAGGGCGAGTGCTACTGAGTAACTAGATTTTAATTTAATTTAAATGTTAATATTCCATTACTAGTGGTTTCGCATATTCACTGCAATTCTAAAATACCAGAAAAGACCTCAAAGGCTTTAGTGGTGTGTTTTGAAAGATTGGTGTAGGTAAAACAGACTAATCCCCAAATCAGAATGAAACACAATTTAGTGAAAGGTAAGCTGAACCAAGGCAAATATATATACCTATAAATGTATACATGTATTTATGTATTCTTACACACACACACACACAGTTGGCCCTCCATACCTCTGAGTTCCATATTGGTGAATCCAACCAACCAGGGGTCAAATGCATTTGGAAAAAAATTTGTGTCTGAGCCGGACATGTATAGTCATTCTTTTTTTTCTTGTCACTATTCCCTAAACAATACAGGGCTTTTATATCAGTCCCTAGGAGTGACTGTGATGACTGGGGTCCTAAAGGTTCCTAGCTTGCAAACAGAAAAAAAACGGGTCCTGCCTCTCCTAATGCCAAGGGGAATTGATGGGAAGATCCTAGAGTCCCTTAGGGAATGTGGAGGGAGAAGACAAGAAGAGAAGAACCAATTCGTGAAAGGCCGGACACGAGGGGTCTGATTCGGGGCCCAGCAGAGCAACCCGTGGGGCTGGTCTCGAACCCCTGGGCTCAGGCAATCCTCTAGTCTTGGCCTCCCAAAGGGCTGGGATTCCAGGCATGAGCCACTGTGCCGGCCAGCATGTGCATCTTGAAGGGACACACACGGGGAGACTGTAGCGACCACGACAATCTGAGTCCAATGCCTTCTGCAGCTGCAGGCCCCAGGAATGCTTTCTTTCGTGAGGCTTCTACCTCACCTCACAGCCCCAGGTGGTATCTGATGGCGCCAAGCCATGCTGGATGTCCCGCGGGCTGTGCCGACCTCCTCTCCCTAGATGAGAGCAGGCATGATGACCTGTGCCCCCATGTCTCTCTACACCCACCCAGCGTCCCCCTTGGCCCTCCAAGGTGAGAGAGTTCTTTCTCCCAAACAGGGCGTGCTTTGGACTCCTCTTAGACATTCAGAAGGAAAGGAGGAGAGCTGCCTGAGCAGCTCAACAGGGAGTGGGTCAAACTCAGCAGAGTATGCTACAGTTCTGTATTCGTTTTAGGAAGGAAAATAAGGCTCACGCCTGTCCTCCCAGCACTTTGGGAGGCTGAGGTGGGAAAACTGCCTGGGCAACAGTGAGACCTCATCCCTACAAAAAATTAAATAATTAGCTGGGCGTAATGGTGGTGTCTGCACTTCCAGCTAATTGGGAGGCTGAGGCAAGAGGATCACTGGAGCCCGGGAGGTCAAGGCTGCTGTGATCTATAATCACACTGTTGAAAGAGCGAACCAGAGGAAGGGAGCATGTGCATGCCAGGGGACTCTTCCAAAAGGCATTCTGTGTGGGGGCAAGGCTTTTTGTTCTTGTCCCCACCCCTTTGCTCTGTGGGTGGCCTGTGCATCCTTGACCCGAGCTCTGCTTCTGTGGGGATGGGAGCTCTGGCAGGCAGCCCTGAGTTCCGATTGGAGGTTCGAATGTGTCACTAATACTCACATCTTGCAGTAGCTTTTGCACGTGTTCATGAGATACTACTATTATTTATTTATTTATTTATTTATTTTGAGTTGGATTCTCACTCTGTCGCCCAGACTGGAGTACAGTGGCTGCTCCCGGCCACCACAACCTCGACCTGCTGGGCTCCGGCGATCCTTCCGCCTCAGCCTTCCAAGCAGCCGGAATTACAGGCATGCGCTACCATGCCCAGCTGATTTTTTGATTTATTGTAGAGATGAGGTCTCGCCGCCCAGGCGGGTCTGGAACCCGTGGGCTCAGGCAATCATTATTAGTTACTCCCCAAAGAAACAAAGAAACTACACTCACAGACCCGGGAGGGTAGGACAGTTGCCTGATGTGACATCTGGCCCTTGGATTTTTGCTTCTAGTCAGGCTGATGTGTTTGCCATGCTGGCTCTGCACGACGGCTGTCATTTGGATGCACATCGTCTATTTCACTCAAAGTTACTGTCTTCATCTCTGCAAGTTAAGACTGAAGCCAGAGCAACAAAGCAGCTTGTGGCATTCACGCAGGCGACTGCTGCAAGGCCCTGGGCTCGAGCACATGCTGGGGTGTCACAGCCACAGTTCCCTGTGCCCTGTCCTGCCGTCGGCTGATAACGTTGCCTTGCAAGCTTTTGCAAGCATTTGTGAACAGTCACCATGTCAGTACATGTGATGAGGTTTTCTTCATAAACTCAATCAAATCATTTAATTAATGGCCAGGTATCTTTACTTTTCAGTCAAAGAAGAGAATAATGGCCCTGTCTTTTGGAGATGCAAAGATCCTAGAAGACTGAAGGAATCCTCTCTCAGGTGAGATGGTTGGGGTGTGTTTTTAATTTGCTCACCCAGACCTGTTTTACACTGCAAGCACTTTTCTTTTCCTTCTTTTTAATTTTTATTTATTTTTTTTAGAGATAGTGTCTCACTATGTTGCCCAGGCTGGTTCCAAACTCCTGGCCTCAAGCAGTCCTCTTGCCTTAGTCTCCCAAAGTGCATGAGCCACCATGCCCAGCCATGCAACTTCTTATTTTTTCAGTGCTTTTTTCTGCTCATGGCTCTGGACTGTGTTCTGTGAAACTCGTAGTTGGGACAATGAAGAAAGTATTCCGAGACAGCTTTCACCTCAGTTGAAATCCGGTGGGCGAAATAGTAAAGTATAACTTTCCTCATTTCCACTGAGTATGTAGATGTCACCTACAGACGCACAGTGGATTAAATTGGAATTCAAAGCACCTGCTGAGCTCCAAGTCCATCGGGCACCGTGCCAGGTCCCACAGTGAATGCAAAGGTACCCAGGGCTTGGACCTCTGCTGGAAGGGTTGACTCTGTCCAGGACGTGCAGCACAAATGAAGGCAGTTCCAGCACTTGTGCTGAGTGTCCTGAGGAGTCTGAGAAATCTGTCAGAGGTGAAGAGGGGAAGGCTGCATTCAGTTGCGAGAGAAGCCAAGATGCCAACACCAGCTGGTCATGGAAGCGTGCATGCTGGAGATGGGACATCCAGGGAGGGGCAGATGGAGCATGGATGGGAACAGAGCAGCCCAGTTTCACTTAGACATAGAACCTGGGTGTGAGATCGGCCTGCACTTTGGAGGGTCTTTCCCGCCCAAATGGAGACTTCACACTTCATTACAGAGGGTGTGAGAAAGTGGTTGATGGCTTTGACCCAGAGAATGGTATGACAAAAACTGTTATGCAGAAAAAGATCTGATGATTATGCTTCAAGTGGATTGAGGTGAGAGATAACAAAGGTAGGTGGGAAGTCATGAGAATCTGAATGTGGCTCATGGTGGCAAGAATAAAGATGGCTGGGCATAGTGGCTCATATCTGCAGTCCCAGAGCTTTGGGAGGCCGAGGTGGGAGGATCACTTGAGGCCAGGAGAGTGAGACCAGCCTGGGCAACACAGGAAGACCCCACTTCTGCAAAAAAAAAAGAAAAAAGAAAATTAGCTTACGTGGTGGAACGCACCTGTAGTCCCAGCTGCTTGGGAGGCTGAGTTAGAAGGCTCACTTGAGCCCAGGAGGTCGGGGCTACACAGTGAGCTATGATCACACCACTGAACTCCAGCCTGGGTAATGGAAGGGAGAGATGGAAAGGGAAGCCACTCTGGTCTTATGCTAGGACTACTGAATGGCGACACCTTTCAAAGAAATAGGAATATCTGAGGGATCGAGCCCCAGAACGACTTAGACAGGCTAAGCTTGAGGTCCTAGTGGGCTTCGTCTGGTGGAGAAGTTTGTCTGGCAGTTGAAGTTTCCGTCTGGAAGGGGGAGAGCATCTGGGTGTGGATTCAAAAGGCGTGCTCTGTGCTGTGTAACTGGAATGATATTGCCAAGCGCTGTCAGCTGCAGACACAGGGAGGAGGAGGTGCCTGCCTCAGGGCCCTCCAGGCGTGGAAGGCAAGTGTGAGCAGCTGAGACAATCATGGCAGGGGAAAAACCCCAGGGAAGGAAAGCAGCAGAGTGCCATGGGAGAGGAGTGAACCCCTGGGGAAGAGTGAGCCCCTAGCTGGGGGCTCAGAAGCCCCCAGTGTTCCCGCTGTGGGTGAGGCTGGGGGCGGGTCCCTTCACTGGCCTGCCTGCTCTCAGGTTGAGCCTGGGTCCCACGAGTCTCTTCCAAACCCACCTTTCACTGTTGTGACTCTCTTTCTCTCTCTCACACACACAAATTTGGCTTAGGAAATTTTTTGAGTTGGGGTCTCACTCTGCCACCTGGGGCTGGAGTGCAGTGGCATAATTGCAGCTCACTGCAGCCTTGACCTGCTGGGCTCAGGTGATCCTTCCACCTCAGCCTCCCAAGTAGCTAGGACTATAGGCATGTGCCACCGTGTCTGGCTAATTTTTTGATTTTTTTTTTTTTAAGACAAAGTCTCACTCTGTTGCCCAGGCTGGTCTCGAACTCCTGAGCTTAAGCGATCCTCCTGCCTCGGCTTCCTAAAGTGCTGGGATTACAGTTATGAGCCACCCCACCTGGCCGAAAGTTTCTTTCCCCTGCTGGGAACACATTACCAACTTGCTTTGTAGAATTTTAACCTTACAGCTAATTATTCTGGACAAGAAAATTAGTGGAAAGTTGACCACAGTAACTGTGATTTTGTTAAAGGAGCTTAAACTAGAGTTTAAAGAGTTAGCTGTAAAAATGGCCTCTGTTCTGTCAAGAGTGCTCAAGGCTTTAAGGTTCTGATTTTCTTTGAAGCTAGAACATCAGAACAGCCTACTGGTTAAGACAGAGGTGGCTAATACATGTTCTATTTGACACTGTAGACCAAGCAAAATGCATACCGAGACCCTGTTCTTTTTTTTTCTTTTTCGAGTTGGAGTCTCACTCTGTCTCCCAGGCTGGAGTGCAGTGGCATGCTCACAGCCGCCCCAGCGTCAATCTGCTGGGCTCCAGCGATCCTTCCGCCTCAGCCTTCCAAGTAGCTGGAACTACAGGCGCACACTACCACGTCCAGCTAATTTTTTGATTTATTGTAGAGATGAGGTCTCGCCAAGTTGCCCAGGCGGGTCTCGAACCCCTGGACTCAGGCAGTCCTCTCGCCTCCGCCTCCCAAAGTGCTGGGATGACAAGGCAGAGCCACCGCACCCGGCCCTGAGACCCTATTCTAATGCTGGTGTTGGGCAGGGACGGCAGCCTGTGTCGCGGAATTTTCCCTTCCAGGTTGCACAGAGGCGCCACTGGCATCTTGTGTGGCATCATTCGTGGTCAACAGAGTGGTCCTCACCTGTGACCCGTGGGCTTCCCTGACTCTCGTCCACCAAATGCCAGTTATGTTCCCGACGTATTGTGGCAGCCAAGAAGCACCACCACGCGTCCTCATGAACCGCCCTGCCAGTTCCCGCCCTCAACACACTGTCAAATGGTCAAGTTCGGCCCCGTTTCCCTCATTCTATGTCCTTGCTGCCTTCTCCCGGCTGTCCTCGCTCTAGCCCTCCCTCCTGTCTTAGTCCATTTTCGTGGCACATAACAGAGGACCTGAAACGGGGTCATGCCTGAGGAAAAGGGGTGCACTTCTCCCAGCTATGGAGTCTGGGAAGTCCGAGGTTGAGGGGCTGCAACGGATATGGCCTTCTTACCGGTGGGGACTCGCTGCAGAGCTGTCCAGGACCTTCCACCGCGCTGCCTCAGGCCTCTCTTCCTCTCACCACTCCCACACCAGTCCCCGGAGTGACCCTTTCCGGAGGACACAGCCCTCATGACTCCGTCACCTTGCCAAAGTCCGCCTTTAAATACCCTTGCACTGGGGATTCAATTTCAACATGAGCTTTGGAAGGGGCCGATATTCAGACTAGAGCACCCAGCAAGCATCCTTGCTCTCCCTGTACAAGTCTGTGCTTGGGTTTTTATTGACACCACAGTGTAATAATGTAATAATACAGATTTTAAATGGAGACCCCTTTGGTGGAATTTCCACTTTAGCAGGCCCATAACCAGCAGCTCCAGGAGAAAAACTCGTGAATAGGGTTTTGTGTTAGCAGCTTTGATAAGATACAGCTGACATGCACCAATCTGTATACATGCATTTTATTATATGTATTATATATATATATGTACACACACCCACACACCCTTGAGACCACCGCCACCATCAGCATAGATCACTCCCTCCCCATGCTATGGGCTGAGCCTTTTTCCAGGGGGTTCACTGGGCCAGCCACCAAGGCCTCACGGTGATCACGTCCCAGCTCTCAGGGAAGAGAGCTTTGACTGTCTTTTATTGCCTCATGTCTAGTGTCTTGGAAGCTATTTTTTGCATTTATTTTGTCCAATCTTTGCTTTGTTTTTTGTTTTTCAGTTGGGAAGGTATATCTGGGAACCTCTGTCTCCATCTCAGCTAGACTCCATCTCAGCTAGAAGCAGCAGAAAGCTAGGAGGGTTTTCAGCATGCACCCGTGTAGGAGGAAGAGGGTTTGGGTTGGCGTCAGATCCTTCCTGGAGCCAGTGATTGTTCTGGAATTTCTGTCAAGGAGGATCTTGGGTAGCACTGTGGGAGACTAGGGGACTCATTTACTTAGACTGTATGCTTAGGTGAAGGGCCTTGAAGCTCTTCTCCTTGGTTGGTACAAATACACTGGCTTTTATTTTTGAGTTGGGGTCTCACTCTGTCATTCAGACTGAAGAGCAGTGGCATGATCATGGCTTACCACAGCCTTGACCTCCTGGGCTCAGGTGATCTTTCTGTCTTAGTCTCCCAAGTAGCTGGGACTACAGGTACTCACCATCAAGCTTGGCTAATTTATTATTATAATTATAATTATATTTTTATTATTATTTGTAGAGACAAGATCTCCTTGTGTTGCCCAGGCTGGTTTTGAACTCCTGAGCTCACACTATCCTCCTGCCTCATTCTCCCAAAATGCTGGGATTATAGGTGAGAGCCATCACACCTGGCCACAAGTACAGTTTGTTTTTTTTTTTTGCTTTGTTTTTGAGTTGGAATCTCACTCTGTCACCCAGGCTGATGGGCAGTGACATGCTCCTGGCCATCGTAGCCTCGACCTGCTGGGCTCAGGGGATCCTTCTGCCTCAGCCTTTCAAGTAGCTGGAACTACAGGCGCACGCTACCACACCCGGCTAATTTTTTGATTTATTGTAGAGATGAGGTCTCACCAAGTTGTTTAGGTGGGTCTCGAACCCCTGGACTCCGGCAATCCTCTGCCTCTGCCTCCCAAAGTGCTGGGATTACAGGCATGAGCCACCATACTCAGCTAGAAACCGTTTTGAATGAAGTACACATCCCAAACAGCTAATTAGAACTACCAATTGAACCGAGATCTCACTTTTCCACGCACTCCTGCTGTCTCCAGTTA